TACACACACCTATACAAGATCTCTCAAATTGAAGAAAGGATGCCAAAGAATCACCATATATGTCCATCTCCCTAGTAAAGGGTGTTTATTTGGAGGGGGTTAAGTACCCTCTCGAACTTTCACTTACTGTTTAATCACATATATTAATAAATACCTTTTTTGGGAGACCAGGCTCATATAGCACAGGCTACCCTTGAACTTGCTATGTAATTGAGGATGATCTTGAAGTTCTGATCCTCCTGTTTCTGCCTCTCGAGTGCTGAGATTACAGGTATGTGCCACTGCCCCCAGTTTATGGATTATGAGGCTTTGATCTTGTCATGGATTCTCTGTAACTATACAATGTACCCTGATGGATTATAAGTCCACAGCTGGAGAGAGGTAAACACATAAGAGGTCTGGCAAAATGTACTTGTGCTCCATGGGAGCCAGATATGAGATTCTTACTTCCTGGGACTGGTCACATATGTCTGTGACATTGGCAGATGCTCATTTATTCATTCCGTTCATTTCCCCCAAACCACCTGAATTCTCGATGCCACTACATTTTTCCATTTCTTTGCTGGAACGTGGGAGGAATTCAATTTTTCTGAAATACAAGCATTTCTGTCATGATCTGGACTAGTTTTATAGTTTTTTGGCTATGAAGTGAATTTTAAAGTAACATAACATGAGCTCTGCCCTCAGCAAAGGCTTCATTGCATTTATGTGGCTGTCAATGTCCTTTTATTGATCCACCTTCTAATTGAGTCTACTGATGCCCTAAGAATCCTCCTGCTCTTCCTTAGCCTGCTTTTCCCTCCCCTCCCCTCTCTCCCCCTTCCCTCCTTGGGCACTATTCTCATATACTGCTACCATCTACACATCACTCATAAGGCACAGAATAAGGTATCAGGCCCCAGCAGCCCATAAGTGCCCAGTCTTGGAAAAGTACAAGCACATCAGTCTAGCCAGTTCTAGTCCCAAGGGTCTCTTCTCCTTGCTTGAATGTTCCAACAGGATCATGTTTGTTTCTCACTGTGATGTATCTGTCTTTTTATTTTTCTTTCTTTTCTCCCTTCTTGTTCTTCCTCTTTTGTGTTTCTGAGACAGGGTCACATGTAGTCCAGGCTGGCCTCAAACTTGATAATGTAGCCAAGAATGACCTTGAATTCCTGATTTCCCTGCCT